TAGTAGTATAGTAGTATAGCAGTAGTAGTAGTAGTAGTAGTAGTAGTAGTAGTAGTAGTAGTATAGTAGTAGTAGTAGTAGTAGTAGTAGTAGTAGTAGTAGTAGTAGTAGTTAGTAGAGGTAGTAGAGGCAGTAGAGGTGGTAGGTAGTAGTAGTAGTAGTAGTAGTAGTAGTAGTAGTAGTAGTAGAGGTAGTAGAGGTGGTAGGTAGTATAGTAGTAGTAGTAGTAGTAGTAGTAGTAGCAGCAGCAGCAGTAGTAGTAGTAGTAGTATTAGAAGTAGTACTAGTACTAGTACTAGTACTAGTACTAGTACTAGTACTATGTAGGAGTAGTAGCAGGAGCAGCAGGAGCAGCCGTAGTAGCAGTAGCCGGATCGGAAGCCGCGGCAGACGCAGAAGCCGAAGCAACAACCAGGGGCATTTGTCGCTGTGACTGTCGTCCTGCATACCGATAGCTATGGTGTTGTAAAGTTGTACATGTCGATCTTTGATGCCGTCGTCGTCGTCGTCGCCGCCGGTCAACGCTTAAGGTGGCGAAAGCTTTACGGCCGTGGGAAACAGGCGACCCCCATCAAGAGATACAGGGCAGCTTCTGGATGAGTCAAGAGCCGCCTCGGAGGCACTGCTTGTCAGCCAGTGCTTGGTGGCATGGGAGCAGAAGGCAGAGGCCGTGGGACAGCAACCACCGCCGTATGGGTCTCTGTGGTAAAGCATGTGGGGCTGCCATGGAGGTTGGCCTTGTCCACACTTGTTTTGCTGCCTGGTTGAAGATTGTCTCCGTTCCACCCTCAGTTGATGCCAAATTTGCTTGAAATTGCCGTTGCCGGGCACTGCATGCCGGCGCGGCAGGCAACAGCGTCGAAAAGGCGCAAAGAGCAGATGCCTCAGTAAGATTCAGTAAGACTCGACAGGGTCGGGAGGTCTTGCAGACAAGATTTCAAGAGAAGACTGAACGCTTCGAGTCAAGGCGGAGTCATGAAGCGGTCGTGCTGGCTTTGCAAAAGTCGGGTGCCGAATGCTGTCAAGCCTGTTCCAGAACATCTGTAAGCCGGGAGTCTTTCTGTACGGGAAAGCATCCAAAGCTTGCCGAAGCCGAAAAGCAAAGGTGGGAGCGTGGAAGCAGGAAGGGGCTACTCCACGAGACTGTGATCCAGTGCGAAGCTGAGCTGCGTGCCGGCGATCCAAGTACATTCTGATTTTGCAGGATGCCGAAGGATGCGCATGGAGAAGTTGCGATATGGAGTAAATCATATATTTTTGACGCAGTAGCATGCCCTGCTTGTGCCCGCCCAGATGGTTCAAAGTCAGCGTGGCCCGAAGACGGCAGGCCGTGGCCACAGCGGATCCAAGAGACCCGAGCTTGATTCTTCAGGTCCAGGGTGATAGTCACGAGTCTAACCCGTAGTCAAAGCCGGGTGGAAACATGAGTAGCGTTTACAGTAGATGCTTGTCCACAGGATGTTGTTCGATTTGCGCAAGAAGTTGTAGGCTGAAGCTTGCGTGACTCTTGACACGTTCGAACTGTTTGCAATGGTCGCATCCCCTGCTCTGCCAGCACTTGCTGATGACATTCGCTGAGATGGACCTTGTCAAGAAGAGTTTGGTCTCTTGGGAGCTGGAGGCTGGAGCGAGGACCTCAAGAGCCAGCAACGTCTATTTCAGGACTTCGGCTTCCCGGTGCAATGGGTGATGCGGGCGCTGTATACCTGTCGCAATTGAGCATACTGGCTGTACATCTTGCCATCATCCGCAGTGCAAGGTCTCCCTGACCCACACCTGCTTCACTGCTTGGAGCAAGCTCCTGGCCGTCGCATACCCAGCAAAAGGGAGTGGGTGGAACTGACTCGTGCACCCAAAGATTCGGCCGAGTCTTTGCTGTTTTTTGCATTGAAGCTGTGTACTGTTTTGCTGGCGAGCCAAGGAAGCAAGGAGCCGGCATATCAAGCAGCCTCGTCCTAAATTCCTTGCTTCTCGGGTCTCGTCCTTGTTTGAGGAAAGTGCTGTGGAGTAACCAGAAACGCACAGCCAGACTCTGTGGGCAGACTCAGCAAGAAGCCAAGCAAGGCACCAAACGGAAGCTGTGGCATTGGCACTGCAGAAGTGTGAGCCTGAGTATCGTCAGCACGATAACAGGTTAGGACCGGGTTGCTACCAAACCGGAACGATATTATGAACAAGGTGGGAGCGCGGCAACGAGAAAGGACTGTTGCACGAAGTCTTGGACCAGTGCTCGACCCCAGCTTTCCGGAGTGCTTCCTGTAAGCCGGGCTTGGCCATCGAGCAGCCGAGGTGGTACAAGCTCTTCGTTCCAAGATCACGGCAGGCCTTGTGCGGAGGCTTTTGACCCGATCCGCCAGCACGTTCCTTCGAGCACTCGAGGCCGCGATGCTCAGCAGTTATCTCGTGTCCTGGGAGATGGAAGCAGAGGCGCGCCGAACACGGAGCGCTTCCACAACAGCTGCACTCGGTGAAAGGTCGGCTTGACGCAAACTTGCTTCTCCGCTTGGCGCCATCTCGTCCAGGCACTTCGGGGAAGTCCCGAGAGACAGTCAAGGGCTGAAGTTCGTTTCGGCACAGGGGGAAGCTCGGAGACGCCTTCAACAGTCTATGCCTGAGAAGACCAACAGGGAGACCAGGTGCCTGGCAGCGCTTGGCTTCCTCGCTTGAGGCGAAGCCGCGAAGGTGTGCATCTTGCCATGCAGAAGCAGACCGGCTCAGCCACCTTATGTTCACCTGTCTGTGGGGTGTACACGCGCTCTTTACGATGCCTTGAGAGAATTGGCCTGCTTCGGCCCAGGTTCTTACTTGGCAACCAGAAAGGGTTGTTGCATGAAGCCATGAGCCTGCGGTGAACTCAGCTTTAAGATGACTTTCCGCGCTTTTGATTTGTTGGCCACCGCCCTCCTGCATGAAAGCTGCCACGAGCTGAGGTGGCAGCATCTGTGTGCCAAACGCGCCCAGCGCGCTGAACCCTGAGACTCCAACTCACGCTGCAGGACCCAAGTGTGCTGGGTAAAGTAACGTGGCGTCAGGACCTCCTCCTGAAGAAGTACTTGGTGTCCTTCGAAATGGAGACGGGGGTCTCACTGGCATGTTGCTGGGGGGCAGAACACAATAAACGCAACGTGCCCCCTGCTTTTTGGCGCATCTCAGATCCTGCGTGGCGTGGGATCGGCGATGGACTTGTCAGGTTGGTCTGACTCAGACTTGCTTGGCTTCCTGGAAGAAGTTGGTCGATGTCGGAGCACTTATTCGGATGCTTCAACTCTAACTTTGCCAGACAAAGTATTACGGGTGATGTGGCCACATATAACAGCAGTTTCTCCTGCCGAGGCACAGGCACGGCAACGCAGCAAGGAGTGAGGGGCCTAACCCAGCCCAGAGCCTCGCAAGCCTTACAAAGACACGTTGGTGGGACGACCGCGATGCAGGAGAATTGCCACATGAAGCTTGCACAAAGGGTACTTCTTCTGCAGGCATGGGCACGAGGCGGTCAAGCTGGCGCTTCAGAAGTGCGACCCCCACTTCTTCAACCTTTTTGCGAGCCTTTACGAGAAGTTCGCTCGCCGCCACTGGCCTACGGCATTGCTTGGGGTTCTTGCTGAGGTGGGAGCGAGGCAATGTTGCAGGTCTGTTGCACGAGGTCGTCACTCAGCCATCTGCTCAGCCGATGCAGGAACGGGGGCTTTCACGTACAGCTAGTTTCTTTCTACTGCTTCCACAAGCGTTGTGGTAACTGGGACGTAAAAACCAAACCGTGGTTGTAGAGTGCTGCCCCGTGTCACGGGATTCTTGCAAGAAGGTGTAGTTGACAGGCGCGCGAGAGAGAGAGAGAGAGAGTGTTTCGAGTCGTCTGCGGTGTGTGTGTGTGTGTGTACCTGGGGACCGAGCCAATTCGCTGCAACCCTTTTGAGCCGACGTATGCCGTGAGGACTTGGGAGTTTCAGGTTGGGGGTCGTTGACGGTCTAGTTACGTTTGGGTGCGAAGCTGACATACGTTGCGTGAACTGTAGACAACAGTCCTGGCCGGGCCCTCAGCATGAGAGTGGTTGTTAAGCGCTGTTCTGCAGTATTTGACTTGATGAGTAAAGGGGGACCGTTCCCACCTGTTTGCGGGGCTGCATAGGAGGCTCTAACCCTGACATCTCGGCATTTGCACTGGGGGGCTCTGCACTGGATGATGGTATTATTGCTGTTTTTGCTTACGGCAGTGTGTGTGTGTGTGTGTATGTGTATTGAGCCTTGCTCGGAACCACCCAGTGCATGCCAAGAGCTGCGTTTGAACAACAAACCACGAGTAAGGGGGACAGAGCATGTGCGAGCCTGATGAGGCCGGGGGATCCAGTAGTTTAGGTAGCTACGTGGTTTGCTGCTCGGGGACCCCGGCCTGCATCGAACAAAGCTTTCACACAATCAGACATACAACCAGTGCGCGCTTGCGCGCGGGGAGGGGTGCACTGCCCCTCTCTTGTCTGTGTGGAAGAAGAGAGAGGGCACTCAATAAGAGCATTGTGTGGTTGGGCGGGCCGATGTGACCCCTAAGCACAGCAGAAAGAAAGGGCCCTAAGCACAGCAGAAAGAAAGGGAGAGAGCGAGAATATCTTAGTCTCAGAGTTTCTAAAGGCCTAGGGCCAGCAGATGGCCTCCTGGAGCGAACCAAGAGACGGGCAGCGCGGGGACCGACAGCAAGCAAGCAAGCGAGAATATCTAAGGCCTTTTGACCGGGGAGCAGTATCTTTTTCATCGGAGCTCTCTAGCTGCCTATGCTTTCACTCTCTCCTACAAAGCCCTGAAACAGGGTCCTGGACCACGTGAACCACTGCTCGAAAGCGTGAAAGTAGTTGAGGCATGCTGGAACCCTGCATTGCTGTTCTTTGCTTCCGCGTGTTGTTGACCGCTTCCCTCCTTAAAGCCCGGCACCATCACCATGGCTCTTTGGCGTAAGGGAGAGGGGCAACCCCCTTGGCAGCAACGTCGTGTGAACAACATGAGAGGAAGCTGCCCCGACTATTCGCCAGGTTGCATCTATGGATGTCCATTGTTCTTTGATAGCTTGTGCATCGATGCGCCGGAACAGGGTCAACCCCGCGAACGTGATCAGCAAGCCCTGCTCATTTGTTGTAACTCCTTCGGGCCCTTTCACCTGGGGTTGCCTTCAGCTTTTGCGCAAGAAGTAGCCTCTGAGCTTTGCATTGCCTTGAAACCTTTTGGCAGCCGCAACCGTCGGGGGCGCACGAGCGCGCGGTGCAGGGGGTTCCCCTGCACCATAGCCCTGGCGAAAGAAAGAGAGTGAGAGTGGGTTGGGAGTGTTTTGCTGTGAGGCTCAGGGGGACTGTGTGCAAAGGCAGCGCGATCCCTTCCACCCGACAGCTTGCCATACTGCTGATTTTCGTTGCTGGGGTTGTTATACCACGTTGTCAGGGGGGGAAACCCTGCACCTACGCCCGGTGTAAAGCCGGGCCACATGGGGCCAAGCCCCCTGTGGATACTTAAAGCCCGCCTGGACTTGCAGGTGCGCGTGCGCACGCGAGGGGGGGGGGGTTGTCAGCGAGACTGCCGACGTTTCCCCACCACCAACCTGGCGAAAGAAAGAGACTGCCGACTCACCAGAGCCGAGCATTCGAAAAGGGCATGCCTCACCACAGGGGAGCCGGCCCTGGCATGGGAAATCGTTGTGGACCTAATGTAGCTGCGAGCTGTGTGGAAAACGAACGCTCAGGACCGGAGTTTGGCGGCGGATACAGGGTGTCAGAGCTTGTCCGTGTGTGTCGCACCGACCAGAAAGATCCTGCGTGCGGTGACGCGAGGGTACCCCCCCGGACCCCCCCCATGTGACGATGGCTAGGGGCATCCCAGCCAGAACTGCTTAGACTGATCGTAAAACCAGCTTGCAGTGGCTTCACTTACGGAGCGGGGGACGAGAGCCGTCAACTCTTAAGGTTTCACACTTCCAGGTAGTGGGAGAACAGAACTTCCAGAGTCACTCTCAGGTGGCAGCAGCTATGTGAAAAGCAGCGGCAACGAGCACAGAGCTAAGCACGTTGTTGTGCACTGCCGTTTCGCTTCAGAGCTACTGCAGTATCTTCTTGCCAGCTTGCTGCCGACTGCACTTGCACTTGTCAGAGCCCATTGCTGGCAGTGAATGCAACTCCTGCGTGTGTCTGAAAGGTTTGTTTCAGTGAAAGGCAGCAGGCGCTTGAGCCGCGCAGGAATCTGGCTCAGATTTCAATGCATAGACTGCGGTCGTCGCCGATCCGCAGCGAACTGAGCAACTCCTGCGATGATGACACCATCTGATTCAACCCTCTCGTTGTCCTCCAGCTCAAGCGACTCCACCACAGATGCACCGAGAGCTGAGACGGACAGGAGTGAAGTTCGTGAAAAATCCACACGGCGCCACCGCCGGCAGCTAATGCGTCAGGAGAGGCTCCAGGAGTTCTTGCAGCAGCATCAGTTTTCACAGGATGTCTGCGAACCACGAACACCTGGCTGCTGCCTTTTCGTGGACCGCGAGATGGTTTATCCGATTCATATTGCCGCGCAAGAGGGCGACCAGGAGCTCATCCGCATGCTGATTGCAATGAACGCAGACCTGAATCAACGGACCTCAAAGGGCCGGACAGCTTTGGAGTTTGCGGAGGAAGCGGATAGCCATGGCTCCCACAGCGGCGTTTTGGAGTTCCTCAGGAATGACGTCAAAGTACTGGGCCTCCGACAGGCCTTGCAACTCTTGGACAAGGACAAGCAGAATTGAGAGTTGGCATCGACCCGGTTTCACACTTGTATAGGCCAATAGGAACAGGCTGCAGATTCAGTTCCGTGTTCATTTCCGACTGTTTTTTGCCTTAGGCAGAACATGTGAGGAAAGCTTTTTTGAATACAGGTAGAACAGAGATTTTCCACTGGCAAGCTGCTGCGGTGCCGGTACTATGCTAGCCTGAGACAGCTTCTGGGCTGTTCCCACCAACGAACGCAGATGATTAAATGGGGGTGAGGGTGGCACGGACTGTGTCACCCTGGCGAGTTTCCGATTGCGCACAAGCATGCAAGCCTGCAAGAACAGTTTCCGAGGCAAACGAACATGAGTCCGTACAGCTCGCCCTGCAAAAGCCTGACTCTCAGCTCGTAGTTGTGACAGATAGTTACAGACAGGCGTGGCGCTCCTGTCTCCGAGGTGGGAGCGCGGCAGTATGGAGGGTCTTCTACATGAGGTGGTGGGCCAGCCTCCACCTCAGCGGGCTTTGTTCGCACAAACGCCTCACGTAAGATCATTTATGTGCGTGTCAGGTGGAACAAGCTCTGCAGTGTGAAGCGGGCGAAAGGGCCCGTCACCAAGCTTCTCGTTTGCACCTAGTCGAAGCATCGTAGACTTGGTTTAGGCATGCCCGCGAAGCTGTGGCGCTGGCACTGCAGAAGTGTGGACCCTCAGCCAGGGTTCAGTGATTGCGATACCCGGCAACAGAAATCTTTGAGTTGCAATTTCGGAGTCTAGGAAGGTAGGAAAGGGTACAGTAGTCGAGACAGAGTTGCGTAGCCGAGGTGGGAACGCGGAAACATCGCAGGGTTGCTCCACGAAGTGGTGCATGAGAAGCTGCCTCAGCGTTTGCTCAAGTGTTCTCCGGAGCTGTGGGCTTGAAGATTTTGGCAGCATGTATCATTGTTGCATATTGTTGCCCACCGAGCAGTAGTTGATCTGTCAGGTGGCAGAGACTCTCCGCGGGGCGTCGGCGGAAGGTGCCATGCGTGCACTGACAGACTCCTGCTTGCTTGACATGGCTTGCTAACGAATGCAGACTGCCCTGGCGAGTTTCCGACTGCGCAGCAGCATGCAAGCCTGCAAGAACAGTTTCCGAGGCAAACGAACATGAGTCCGTACAGCTCGCCCTGCAAAAGCCTGACTCTCAGCTCGTAGCTGTGACAGATAGTTACAGAAACAGGCGTGGCGCTCCTGTCTCCAAGGTGGGAGCGCGGCAGTATGGAGGGTCTTCTACATGAGGTGGTGGGCCAGCCTCCACCTCAGCGGGCTTTGTTCGCGCAAAACAGCGGACGCAAGCCCACGGATTGGTGTTTTGCAGGGACTTGCATGCTAACGCGTTGTGTGTTGTCGCCACAACAGGTCCGTTGCGCTTTCGTGCCTCGCACAAGATCATGTAAGTGCCTGTCAGGTGGAACAAGCTCTGCAGTGAGAAGCGGGCGAAAGGGCCTGTCACCAAGATCACCATGCAATCGTATGTTGAAGCCTGGTGGTGTGCATGAGATCGTTGCAAAGTGCCAGCTTTGTCTTTCTTGTGCGGAGCATGAGCATCGCAAACTTGATTTTAGGCACGGCCGCGAAGC